TACACTGGAGTTGACCTACCACCACCTGATGACGCCCAAAAAGGCAGAAAAGGTTCGTGTGTGTGGTCTCCGTTTGTCGGTAAAATAACATTGTTTCCAATAGTGAAGTCTGTCGGGTACTCCAAGGAAGCAAGAGCGTATCGGCTGTTCGGCATCCAACCACGGGCTCAGCGATGCTGTACTACGTCCGAGTTCGGCGACTAAGAAGATAACGAAGGCAACTCAACAACTTGATCTACAGGTATGTCAAACGATTTTCAACCATCACGGTTGGCTGCTGTAGATAATCGCGCGTGAGGAAGAGTTACCGCTTACGTTGAGGCCGGCTACACCAGATAACATTAAGAGCAGATACACTCAAGAAGTGAATCTGCCCTCGAAAATTCCAATTTGTGACGATTTCGTGTTTTACAAAAAACAATCACCTATATTGGGCACGTTTGAGAAAAATTAGGTCTCCACGATTTACAAATTTTTTTCCTATTTGGGGGTTAGAAAGTACAGCCGTCTTCACGAAACTTTGTAGACTGCACATTTCGAGTATAACCTACTTTTCAATTTGCCCAACACTTGTCAACCCCAGTGCCCATATGTTGACCTCAACGTACGGACATAATTCCGCCTCGAGCACGAGAGTCGAAGGAATGAAAAGGGAGAGAGAGACTGCAAAAGGAATCCTTGTCAGAAAATAAGGGTTGCCTTTGTTTACATACAAGTCAGAGGTAAAGTGCAGCCAAAACAACAAATGGACGAAATCAAAGGAAGGAAGCAACTGACAGCTGCAACGCAGACAGTATGTATATCGATGCAGCCTGGGTGCACTCTTGTTTGAGTAAGAAAAGAAACCTCGGGGGCAGGCAGATGAGTGGCAGCATCTCGCGAGCAACCTGTGTTTTGGGCAGGTAAGGATTAAAAGGAGCGGCGTTTATATGCACACGCGATCAGAGGTGGACTGAGGGGGGCCAGAGTACATGAGTCTTGATGCCACAGCCAAAGTGGCAGCAACAGCTATGTAGCTGGAGATAGATTTATATATAAAAGAAGGACAGAATCTTCGGGTAAGCTGCACTGCCAACCCTTCGCCGAACGAAGATGTTCATGAAAGAGAGTATAAACAGGACTCGCAGCAGGCAGGCAGTCAGGCGAGGAGATAGGCACGTGGCTGGCCGGTCGGCCAGCTAAATACGGTTGTGTTTGTGTGCTCAAGAAGAATAACAGGTGATAGGAGGAGGTTGAGGTATAAACAAGCTGCAAGGATGG